CACAAGAAATGTTGGTGTGTCGCCGCTAAAGAGCTTTCTTTTCGTATTGAAATATATATATATATATATATATATATAGGGGTGGGTTCAACATATAACCAAATAATAACATCGCCTAACCACATTACCACCTTCCTAACCATGAGATTAAATTTAAGACAAAAGGGTAAGATGGTCAAAGCTACTAAAACTTATGAAATTGAAATCAAATGCCAGTGTCCAATTTAGCTTCAATCCATGTTCATAGATGAACATATGTTCATAGATAAACATATGTGCAATCTGTTTACTCTACTAGTGAACCCCAAGGCTTCCAATGATGCCATATTCACTATAAATCTTGTCGATCATCGTCTTATTGTTAATCGTTTTCTTCAAATCAACATATTCTTTCCTAATTGGTCCAGTGATAACAAATCATGCGTTCAACATACAATAATCCAATGATGTTATATTCAAAATGATAAATTGTGATATTCTATATCTATAAGTAGCATAATTTTGAGATTTTAAATACATTGTTGAATATACCAATGATTTAGAATGTAAGATTACTCAAACTACTATATTTGTGTCGGTACTTGTTTAATTTAGTCACCACATGCTTGTTCTAGTGATAATTGGTCAGAATTCATGCCCGTGAAACCAAGGGTGGCATTTAAACTGTTTGTTTTAAACCTTTGAAAAAAGCAAACAAATTTAAAGGGGGAGGAACGAGACAGAGGGTACTCTTATTCCTACGGATAAATTTGGGCCACCGATACTCTGTTCTCCATAGGCCTTGGTCTGAATCCTCCTTGAGCTTGGATTTGTTGCTCACATGGTTTTCTATTTATAGTTGATGTAGATTTGATGGTATAACTGTTCCAAAGAATGACATACATGATAGAATACTGATATATCTACTCTTCAAGTGCAAATTTCATAGGATCATGGATATTAAAAAAATAAACACCATGAATTTTTTATATAAAGCGCGATATCCTTATGTGTTGTTCTTCTAGATTTGATAATTTATACTCAAAATTGATCAAAGTTGCATAGACATTTGATATAATAAGCCAAAGGTAGTGGCCAATTATTAAATTAATTAATATTAAACCGCCCCAGAGAGATGATTGCTTGATTTGTTTCTTTTCTTTGGTATCTTCAGCTAATAAAATATGTGTAATTAGCTTTGATATTAATATTATTATATTAGTAATTTATAATTAAGAAACGTTCCTAGGATTAATTAATGGGTCATTCTTTTACGATTTGAAAATTCTTTCGCAATTTAATTAATATTTAATTCACCGCCGTCTATGTCTTCTATAGGGCTGTAAACGAGTCGAGTCGAGCCGAGTAATGCTAAGCTCGAAGCTCGAAGCTCGACTCGTCTAAATTACTCGAGCTCGAAGCTAGATTCGAACTCGCTTCGAGTCTAAATTTGATGCTCAGACTTGACTGATCATGTAATACTAGATACTATCGAGCTCGACTCGCGAGCTCGATTCGGCTCGACTAAAATTTTAAAAAAAAATTTAAATTAATCAAATATTAAAAACATCTCACATGCTTTTACATTGTTCCAAATAACAAAAAAAATCATAATAAATCATCTAATGTTAATATAGAATTAACCATCTATATGTCATTGCATTTTACATATATACAAAATACCAAAAACAAACATTCTCAAAAGTTTTGAAATGAAATTTATGTCTTTACTTCTTAACCCATGCCTAAAAGCTAAAAATGTTTAAATGTTTTAGTAATTTAAAAGTGTAAAAATATAATTTTATAAATACTTGATGTTCAAAATTTCATTATATAAACAGCTTTAATTTTTAATTAAGTCTCATTAAGAAATTACTTTTTTGAACATTCTTTTTATTCTTCTATGTTCAAAATTTCTTTATTAGTGTATTTACGAATTTACGCATAAATGAAGGTATTGATGGTTTACATAAAATTGTTTTATTTTGTTTCTATTGAAAAATATTTAGATCATTTTTCTTAACCTGGGCGTTGCAAGTTTTATCATGTTTGTGTTCTTTATCTGTTCATTGTAGTATTTTAATGTTTATATAATATTCCAATAATGCAGTCGGGTTGTGTTGCTTGGAGACCTAAATTACCGGATTTCCTTACCAGAGAGAGAGACAAGATTGCTGGTAAATAGGAAGGATTGGAATACGCTGCTTGAGAATGATCAGGTAACTCGAAGAACGACATTATCACATACCTTAATTCACTTAGCATGATCAAAGTCTATTTTGACGTTTAATAGTTAAATGAATCATCTTTAACATCAAATATATAAGAATTCTTTAGGTTAGAGAGCAAAGCACAAACAAATAACCAAATTTATTTTGAATGTGATTGAATAATTGAAGCTTCGAATGGAGCTCATGGATGGTCAAGCTTTTGAAGCTTGGCATGAAGGAACGATCAATTTTGCTCCTACCTACAAGTACCATCCGAGTTCTGGTGAATACTATGGTTGTGGTCATCTTGGAACCAAAAGCAAAAAGAAACGTGCTCCTGCATGGTACTTTTTCTCTTTAATTTTATGTAATATCGATTTCTAAGAGTCCACTATTCGTGCAAAAAAAGAAAAAAAAAGAAATTGTTCTCAAATTTCTTGATATCACTTAACAAAACGGACTTTCATTTATGGCAAAATGTGTTGGTCATATTAATTTGCAACATATTTGCATCCATTGATTAAGGGTCTATCTTGTGTATAGGTGTGATAGAATAATTTGGACGGGCGAGGGATTAAAGCAACTTCTATACACAAGAAGTGAAACCCCATTGTCGGATCACAGGCCCGTGAAAGCTATGTTCTCTACTGAAGTTAAAGTTTCACGATTGAGGTACCAGAGCTTTTGTTTATCAGAGAGGTTTGGACGTCGGACCAGAACTAGTTTAGAATTCCATTCCGATGATGAGTATTCAAGTCATTCCGGTCGGCTAAGCTTCCATATTAAAAATAAAATGACCCCATGAAAGTGAGAGGATTATTTTGGGTATATTTGCATTGTGTTTCCACTGTGCTAGGTTGGTCTCCTTATTTTTTCAGCCCCAAATGTCGAAATCATCTCTCTTTGATTGATATATTTGGATATATACATACATACATATAAGTACAAAAGCAAGAGATAGTAGCATATATTTTTGTAACATAAAATCCTTGAGATATGTTTTTTTTCTGCCCACCAACTTTGATTCTGAAATGATTGTAATTGGCATATATATATTAGTGAGGTAATTATTTAAAGTTATATCATTCTTGTAAGTATTCAACTACATGTTGGTGAAACCAACTTCTTGTAAGTATATTTTAGTTGATTGCTGTGTACAGATTTTAGTAATTACTATATGAAATGGATTGATCATATATTTTCAATTTTGAGCCCAATAAAACAATTTCGTTGAGATATTATGTACTAGGTGTAACACCCATTTATTACATGTGTTAATTAAAAAAATTAAATATAAAGATCTAAATATTTAAGAACTTTGAAATAAGAAAAATAATGAATTATTAAATTTGATTTTTTTATCTTTTAAATTTAAATAAATAAACAAAATAAACTAATGAGCTTTAATTTAAGAATTTTGAAATAAGAAGGTAAGTCCATTAATGAAATTGATATTCATTTATTACTATATTTATTTTAATTATTACATTAAAGTATTATGTGAAATTTATTAAAATAAAAAAACCCATAAAATGACATGTGAAAAAGAAATTAATTCAAAATAACCACAAAATGACATTTGACAAATTAAATGAGAGTGTGACATGTGTCAAAAAAAAAACTTTCATTTATTAGAGTAGATAACCAATTAATCTCCCAATGTATATTTAATGTGTCAATTTGAAGTAATTCAAAATAACTTATTTTGGATTTATTGAGAAACTTTATTTTTTGTTTGAAATCAGATAAACACAAGAAATAATGAAGTATCAATAAAAGTAAATAGGGATGAGCAACGGGCTGGACCCAGACGAAGCTGACCAGAAGACCGAAAGCTTGAAACCCAAAATTCTTGAATATCCTTAACCGAAAAACGGATCGTTTTAGGGTTTGTCGATCCTGGTTTCAGGTATGCTGGTTTCGGGTCCTAAACCGGGTTTCGGTTTTTAGACCGATTTGTAGCATTTTTTGGCCTAATTAAATATTGGGATAATGACCTGAGAGGGTAACCAACTATACCCTTTGTACATATTTAGTCACTTAATTTTTTTCGTGCACTGTTAACCATTAAACTTGTTTTTTCGTTTAAAACATACCATTATGACCGGTAATAGAGGGTTTTTTTCGGTTTTCGGCGTCTTTTCCGGGCAGGTATGATTTGTCCAGTCAAGTATGATTTTTCCGTTCATCTTCTCTCGCCAAAATAGATTTTCCAAAGAGATGGGTTCTTGACACATTTTTCAGATTTCTTGTTTCTCTCTCTCTCTCTCTCTCTCTCTCTCTTATCTTTTCTGTATTCTCTAAAACAAACCCATAAATCGAGGTGTAGATACACTCACATATCTTAGAAATCAAATCTGAAAAAATGGTGTTCTTGAGCAAAAAAAATCTTTGAACTTCAAATCTGAAAGATGAACCCAAGATTTTTTCCTTCAGATTTTGTAATCTTGAAATCAATTTCCTCCTTCAGATTTGCATTCCTAAAAATTGAAAACCCTAGGTTCGTGTATCTTGTTCTTGGATCGAAAATCTTGAAATCGGTTTGCATTCCTAAAAATTGAAAAACCGAAGCTGCCTTGGAAAACTCGATTCTCAAAGATGATGAACAACCATGGATTGGAAAACCGGTTTACATTCCTTCATATTTGCATTCCTGAAAATTGAAAACCCGATTCTCAAAGATGATGAACAGCTTGAACTCGAAGCTATCATGGAAGTTGTTTGAAGAACATGAAGCAAAAACGAAACCAAGATGATGAATTGAGCATTTCAACTTTAGATTTGCACTCTTGCTAACGACCCTTCTCCTGCAAAACAAAACCAAAACGAACTCATTTCAAGGTTTTAACTTCATATATGCATATTATCGATTTGTAGATCTGGAAAATCAAGAAGAAGAAAATTTGAGCATTGGAAGCAAAAAGATGATGAATCGAGCATTTCAACTTCAAAAATGTGTATATGTTAATGCTTCAGATCTTAGAACCCAAAGAAATCTAGAAAAAAAAAGTGTCTTTCAAGAACTTCATTCGCCGGAAAAATCATGTTTGCCGGAGAATATGACTAGAAAATTCATAGTTTGCCGGAAATCGGAAAAACCTTCTATTACCGGTAATAATGATATGTTTCAAACAAAAAAACAAGTTTAAAGTTTAAGGGTTAAAAAAGCACAAAAAATAATTAAGTAACCAAGTATATACAAAAGATAGAGTTGGTTACATTATCTCTAAAATATTTGTTTGACTTCATATAAGTTGTGGGAGCATATGATTCGTTGACATCTTTTACCAAATATATTATATACATATTAAAAACCATGGGGCTTTGGAACAGTGTTTTTGGATTTTAGCTCATCTTACAAATTCAATTTATAAATATTATGTGCCAAACTACAAGACAAAGTAACCGGTTCAGTGGATAGTGTTCTGTATCATTTTTATTTCCTTTGGCAAGTGTTCTAGCATTCATCAAATTTTTATTTCTTTTTTTTTCCTTAAATATACACCTTCTATTTTCCTCATTTTATAGTTTTAGCCCAATTTTTTTTTTTTATGAAATTCATTTTTTAATTAATTACTATATTCTTAAAAAAAAGTAATGTAATTTTTTTAGGATTTTGTATTTTCACAATTTTGCTTTTTTTTTTCCATGGTTTTATGAACTTTCTTTTTTTATGATTTAGATAGACAAAACTGCAAAAATAGTCCCTATGGTATACAATTTTTTTAGGGTTCTGGTTCATACTTTAATTTTTTTGGATTGGTGGTCCATTTGACAACGTTTTCTTATTATTTTGATCCCTCAAAAAACTGAAATGACTAAAATACACTTCTAATATTTTTCTATTTAATTTAAAGTGTTATTAGTTAAAAATATAGAGCCCACCTCTCTTTCTCCCTTAATTTTTTCTAGTGAAACACTTTCCGTCTTCAACGTTTCCATAACTAAGTTCAGCATCTTTGACACCCATCTCCAACTATAAAAAGCTCTATAACAAATTAACTGGGTTTTGAAAATGACACAAGATCGATCCATGGTCGAAACCCAATAAGAATAATCGAACCCAGAAAACTTACCTTTAAAACCCAGAAAACAAAATCGAGTGAGTGTGTCTTTTAATTTTTCAGTGTGTGTATGTGTGTGTATTGAACCCATATCAAATGTGGGGGCAACGTCAGCTTTCGACTTAGCTTCTTCCATTGCAATCCTCATGGTCCGTCACTCCCTTTCTCGTTGAAACCCACCTCCGACGCCACTGGGTTTCATTTCTTGGTCAAACATTTCATCGAATTGCATGAGTTGAGGGGCATAGGGGGAAGTGGCTTCGTCTAACTCATTATTTCCGTCAACTTGAAGTTGTAAAAGGATAACATGACGATAAACTTCAGTGAGGTCCAATTTGTTTCTGACGGCTGTAGGATGAGTGAAAGGTGTTCCGGTAAGAGATCCATCTACAAGACATACATCTGCAAAACTTGTTTTAAGAAGAAACTTAACATATGAACACACACACATCCCCTCGACCTCGAGCGTCTTTCCCTCTCTCGATCTTGATCTTGATTTCTCACTTTCTCTTCACAATCAATAATTACCACCCACCTTCTTGTCATCCTTACTAGTGAAACAAATCTACGAAGGGGTAGGGTCGTAGGAATGATCTTGATCTACCTTCAAAAACTCGGATTTTGAGTCCATTTCTCCCTCTTGTCTTCCTTATGGTTTTGAGTTCAGGTGGAGGATGACAATGGTGATCTTTGCTAGAGTTCAGTTTTTTGTTTTGTTTTTTTTTTGGGCGGGTTTTCATTTGAAATTGAGTTCATATTATTTTATTATTTTATGGGTTGTAGGCGAGGAATACACAGGGGAAGGGAAAGAGAAATCAAAGAAAGGAAAAACAAGAAACAGAAATGAAAGAAAGGAGAACGAAGAAAGGGAGGCCCGTTGTTTTCTTTCGATGGCGGCTGGAGAGAGAGAGAGAGAGAGTTATTTTTTTACTTTTATTTCTTGTTCAATATATTTTTTATTATTTTATAGTGGGAAGCAAGTTGGAACTATAAAAACAATAAAAGTGACGTGTAGGGTGATGTCTATGCATGGAAAAGACATAGGTTTGTAAACTTCTTTTACTTAACATGATATAATTAATTAACCTCAAATACCTCTTGATAAAAAAATATGGTTATTGTTAATGTAACCTAACAAAGTTATAGGTTTTGTTTTAAAATGTCGTTTTTGTTTTTCTTTTTTGTTTTCTAAAGGCATGAATTCAAGTTTTTAGTGTTTAAGGTCATCTCATGAATCCCTTACAAATCAGTAGGTTTAATGTGTCGCACAATAAATGAGTTGTTACTTCAATTGCCACGTATTTTGACGATAATTTACCTAATGCTTTCTTTCTTTACAAGCCGAATGAGAACATAAGTCACAATTGTTTTCTATCATTTTCCCTTTTTTATTTTTTTTTCCTGAAAAACCGTTTATCTGGGTTCTTGCTATGGTTGTTTACATAAATATCGATCTTTATTTTCAAGGTATGTTTACGAGGTACCATGTTATTAGTTACACAATTGGAGTAGAACATAGGTTTGAGGATGTGGATTTTGCTGGAATCGCTACAAATAAAATTACATTTAGTTGCATAGAAAAAGTGTCATTAAAAACCACAAAAATGCAACTAAAGGCCCCGATGTAATCATCGACACAAAAAAGAAAGTGTCACTAAAAGCGCTGCCACAAAAGGCCTTTAGTGACACTTTTTGGTTGTGCCGCTGCAACCTTATTGGATTATAGTAACACTTTTTTATTATAAGCACTTGTAGATTTTAGATTAGAGACACTATTTTTAAGCCACTATTTAACTACTAAAAAAATATTTTCATGCTTTTAGTGACTTTCTTATTTTTTTTTCTAATTTTTTTTAATTATTAATAGAGAGAAGAGATTGTTCATCAATAAATCACTCTGTTGTTTGTTTATTGATGAACAAAATAGATTAGACTTCTTATAAAAAATGTATATGTGTAAACTTTCTTCATTGAGGAAAAAAGGCAGTTTCCTATGAACTCTATCTCATATTCAAGTTGGGGCTAGCTCACTTGGCTAACAAGGAGGTGTTAAACTAACAACTAACTAGGAGGTTCCGGGTTCAATCCCCGGGAAAGGAGAAAAAGTAATTATTTGCCGTTCAAAAAAAAAAAAAAAAAAAAAAACTCTCTCATATCAAATTGAAGCAAATCAGAGTTCTCACACTAACTTTAATGAAAACCTACGGATCATCTTCATAAGGTAGAATTAGACTTCATAATATCCAAGGTTATCTATACAGAAAAGGTGTTTATAAACATTAAGTAATGATATTGGGGACGTTAATGATGAATAATTTTTTGTTACCAAATATGAAGAATATTATTAAGTCAATACTTGATAAAAGGGTCGTCATATTTCCACTGATGGTTTTTATACTTCCACTAAAAAACAATGTAATGACAATTATGCAATTGATTTCAATTTATAGATAACTAAGTGTAAGATCCATGTATTATATGAGTTAATTAAAAAAATAAATATAAAGTTCTAAATTTAAGAACTTTGGATTTATAAGAAAATAACAAAAATAATGAATTATTAATAAAATTGATTTTTTTATCTTTTAAAATTAAAAAAATAAACAAAATAAACTAATGAGCTTTAATTTGGAAATTTTGAAATAAGAATGTAAGTCTATTAATGAAATTGATATTTATTTATTA